GCATATGGCTGCAAGTTTTACATTTGTTTTCTTTGCAAGGTGACCTTCCTGGGTCTGAATGACACAGCTGAAAAGTGTTGGTAACCTAGCATTGCTGAAGGCTGGCGGGCTATCAGGGAAGCCATAGGCCAACATGGCAACAGAGGCCCTGGGTGGGAAGCCCGGTCCTGACCCTTACCAATGGCAGGAGATCCTAAAAGTCTCGTTCCTAGTCATAGGAATACTGATGGAAGGTTATGAATGTCAAGGTTAGAGTGACTTTAGGAGGCCGATGGAGTTTAATGAATATTTTTGGCACACTAAAAGAATACTATTAATTACATGGATGCAATTATTTTGGGACAGTGGTTGATTTAATTAATAATTCATTAAGGATGAAAACAATATTAATTACATGGAGGCATAATAAGTACCCAAGAACTGGTAGGAATGTAGCATATATAACTGAATATTGTATAGACATCTCTGGCACTCTATAAAGATCTATATTTATTTGTGTACTACCATCTGCATGTCAATGTGTTCTTATTTTTCAAACCCTGGGGCTCGATCTCAGGTGCTGGGAACTACTTGTGGGCTCAATATGCACCAGGCTGGCATGCTGACATTCACCCATTCATGCATTGGGCCTTGTAGGCTGTGAGTTCAGATGCCAGCACTCACAAAAATTGAATCATGGAGTAAGAAGACCATGGTGACACATGTTTTCCTTTTCTGTGAAAGTCCTGGATGTCAGGTGTGAAGTTTCATACATAGGCAAATCTATATCCTCTGTAATAAATGTAATAAATATTCCATGTGTAATAACAGTCGATAAAATAAATGGCAAATAGATGAATAAAACAAAAAATTTAATGAATAGCTATACTAAGCACAATATGGAGTCAATATATGGGGCTCGATTTCAGGGCCTGGCAACTGCCTAGGAGCTTAATTGGCTGCTGTGCTTACAATCACCCATTCATGAACTTCTAGGCCCTGAGTTTAGATCCCAACACTGCCAAAAGTATAATCTTGGAGTGAGAAGCTGAGCATGACACGTTTTCTTTTTCTTTGAAAGTGCTCAGTGTCAGGTAGGATGTATAATTTGGATGCAAATCTATATGCTATGTAATAGAATGTCATAAATGTAATAAATGTCATAGGTGGAATAATTGTCACTACAATAAATGATAAAGGGTTGAATTAGTGAATCATTCTAGATTAAATTAGATGCAACAATTATAGGAAGTGTATTAAGTTTTATTAATATTTTATTAAGCATTACCAGAATAAAAATTACATGGAGACATAATTAAATCTAATAATAGGTAGTGACACATGATGCATAATTTAATTATACATAGACATCTGTCTCATTCTATAAAATATGTAAATATATATGTGTATATGTACATATATGATAAACAATAATGGGATATTGAGTAATTATTAATTAATGCTTTATTAATTGTTCAACTGGGACACATCATTAAATGGAGACATAATTTAATATCTAATAATTGGCAGTAATCCCTGCAACTACTGCTGCCTCCTTCTTGCCCTTATCGCTGGCCTGTCAGTCCCAAAAAAGGCCTCCAGGAGAACCCCTCCACCCCTGCACCAATGTGTCCTGTACTTCCAGTGACTCCTGGTGGTCAGTATGATCTACATGACCACAGAAGAACATGAGGATATATGTTACACACAGACATGAAGAACTAGTATGATGGCTTGACCTTCATGGCTTCTGAAAATGGAGGTTTGACCTGCATAAGTTTTGCTTCACTGTGAATTTTCTATTTTCACACTGAACACCATATACTTTCCTTGTGCTTCCTTTATTGGTTTTTGTCTTATTCTCTCAAAACAAGTCTATTATCATGGGCTGATACCATGTCTCTGGTGATGGCACCAGCAGATCCAAGTGGAAAAGGAAGTGGGACATAGAGTACCCATTTTTTTCACAAGAGTCCACCACAGGTCAGAAGAACAAGTCTTAGGAGAGTGGGCACAGCTGCTGCTTCCCTCTCTGAAGCATGGCTCAAGTTTGGAGAGGGATTTCAGGACATCTGAAATATTGAAATATTGAATTATCTTCAAGACCAAAGAAACAACCACATCTAGTAATTGAGCTCACAAGTGTACCATGGAGATCCAGTGAAAATGATCAGTCTGATGAAGATAGGACACTGTTTAAAATACAGAGAAACAATGAGATTAGCACTATTGGCAGAAACAATTTGTGTGCAGAAGATAGGGCCAAGGGAGATGAACTGCAGTTGATTGACTAGAAAGTGGACAGTGACAGAGAAGAAACCAGTAAACGCAATGAATGTGAAGATGGAGAGGGTGTCATGGAAATCTCAGATGGTGCTTCTAGTGCAAGTAGTTATTCTTTGGCAAGTGATAGTAGGAAACCTGAGCTTCCTAAAGCAGGACCTGACTTTATTGCCTAGCTGGACTAAAAGTGAAGATCCTCCTGCCTCACATTCCAGAGTTCTAGGATTACAGTCATGCATTACCACATTCCTGTTTGAAACATTTAACTTTCATGTTAGATTATTTCTTTTTCACCTGTGGCTTTATAAGCCTGACTTCGACATTTTTGGACCTTGGCATGAACATTTGTCTGGATTATGAGGAAACAATAATTATTCCAACAGTTTCCCATATTGAAACACCCACTCCTTGGGTACTTGTCAACTCACTGTGTTCATCTGTCCTGTGTGGAGATTGTCCATTCTGCTCTGGTCCTTAAGAGGTCTGCCAGATTCTCAGCTGTGTATCAGAAGAACAGAGATGGAGGGTTTTAGATAGCAGTGAGAAAAAAGAAATTTACTTCACTGAAACTCTGTTATTTGCCTTATTTTTGCCTGTCATATTTACCTTGCTCACAGTTTACATTCTTTTATGGTATAATGAAGTAATAACATTTATTTTCCTCAGCATTTAAGTTTAATTCTTTGTTTTCATTGAGACAAACTTCTGAGAAAGAACAACTAATCTCATGCTCATTTCCACAAATGGATTTTTTTATTTTCATATTCCCTTGTAAGACAATAACTCTTGGTGTGGCAAGTCAGGAAATAGAAATAGATTAAAATTTTAAACATGATACATTTATTTGTAATGTCAGTAGGCTTTGGAATTTTAGTCACTAAAATGTGTGTGACTACTACGTTTACTGTTGCCCACTCTGGTGAGAGCATCCTTAATTACTAAATTATTAACAAGTGAATGGATTGCCAGACAAACTTTGAGAGTTTTTGTTTTCTTGGCAGACCATTAAACATTTCTTTAGAGGAAAAAATACCACACTATTTCTGCTCTTCATAGAGTCTATTATACTTCAGTTAATTCATCTGTAACTATTAGCATACAACTAAGTGTATTTGCTTTTGGGTTTATTGGAGCATTGTAGCAGCCACAAATAAGGGAAACCATTCAGCTTGTGTTCTCTGGGTCTGGATTACTTCCCATAATATAATGCTTTCCCAGTCTTTCCACATTATTACAAATGGTAGTCTATCATGCTCTCTGATGGATGAGTGAGATTTCTCTCTGTTTGTGTGTGTGTATGTGTGTGTTTATACATACATTTATATATATGTAAATATGTACATATACACACATATATGTATATATTTATATCTATATATACATATATGTATTTAAAATGTGGTATACATGTATGTAACCTCATACATACACATATATGTATATATATGCATATATATATATGTAACCTCATACATGTATACCACATTTTATTAATCCATTCATCATTTGAGGGTTTTCTGGGTACTGGAAAGTGAGAGACAAGAGCCTTATCCTTCTGTTTGTGGGAAGACATGAGCTCTTATAGCAACAGTCCTGAGCCTTGTTACCCATTTTTATGGCCTGAAGTGGTAAAAGCTGATCAACAATTTGTTCATTTTTGCAATTCCTGGGGCCTGAACTCAGTGCCTGTGCACTGTCCCTAAGCATTTTTTGCTTAAAGATAGCATACTAACACTTGAACCACAGCAACACTTCCAGCTTTTTCTGGATATGTGGTTACTGAAGAATCAAACTCAGGGCTTCATGCATGCTAGGCAAGCACTCTACCACCAGGCCACCTTCCCAGATTTTATTTTTTAAAAACTAACATGTAAAAGAACCAACTACATGAACAACTGTATTACAGGAGGCGAGCTCCATGACTTCCCTGGCCAGAAACCTGGGAGACCAGGCCTTTGCCACAAGTCTCCTGTGAAGTCAGCTTCCAACCACTGAGCATCATTTCATTGGCCTGAAAGGAAGGAGAGTGTTGAGATGTGAAACATGATGCAAGCAGACAGAGGGAGCCTCATCCCCCAATGTCAACAATGAGGATGGGTACTCACAAACCCCAGATCCTGTGGCACACATGCTAGTAGACACTAATTATGAATTGTGTGGAGTCATGATCCAATGGGCAGATGGGCTGGGCTATTATGAGAAAGACATAACCTCATTCAGAATCATATGGACTCCAAAAATGTGAACTAGAAAAGGTCTACTTTGTGTTTGAGGTTATTGTTTTAACTTCTTTTATCTGCACTCTGTCCTCTAAAGCCAGCTCCCATGTGTGAACTCTTCATATGCAAGAAAATGAGCCATAAATAAGGCCAAGTAATTATTAATCTTATGGAAGTGAGCCAGGCATAGAATGGCTGTCTGGGGTTTCTTTTCCTCTCTGAGTTACAAAAAGTGACTTGTTCCTGAGACACAGAGCCCATGTTCTAATGGCTGAACTATTACTGCTGGATATCACATTTCACCATGTGGATATAACTATAAGAAACAAAGCAGCCAGGACTTTGATGTTCCCAAAATTATTGCCATGCTGAGTGAGTCTGACACATGACTTCGAATGACTGCATGAAGGAAGTGAACATTCTTTTGTTTTTACAACATGTAATAGTGTATACATCGATACATGCTTATTCACTTTACACTGACTTTAATTTTGTCCCAGGTTTTCATTTTGATTTCAGAGGAAAGTGTCTGGATTTACCATTCCAGCAACAGGCTCCCAGATGCTCATGCAGGGTGAAGAGGGGAGAATGGGTCGAAATGATGACTTCCTTCTGTGTTTCCCTGGCAGTGCTGAAAACCAGACCCAGAGCTTCTGGGCTTCAGGTAAACAAGCAGTGGATAGTGTCTCCCTTCTCAAGAGATGAAATCTTCATGAAAATTGCCCACAGGACACTACAGTTTCCACTGCTTTTTTACTTCCACGCAGTGCACATAGCACATGAGCAAATGCTGGAGGGCACAGGTATGGCTGACTCACCACCCTTCAAGAGAGGCAAGAAGGATGAACACAGTGGCAGAGGACCTGTTCCTCAGCAGAAAGCCTTGCAAGGTTCTGAATATCACCCTAAGTGAGGCTGGCATTTGAGCACAGTCTTGGACAGGTCATGAACATCTGAAGAGTCTGGAATGTTCTGCTAATCCACAGGTTGACTAAGCAGCCTCTCCTTGGGGGAAAAGGATCTACTATAAGTAAACACTTATCAGAAATCTCACTAAACCTTGTTCTTTATATTAAGTCAGTTCTTCAAGGCAGACAAGTGAGAGTGGATAAAGAAGAAGGGCCCTAGGACCACTGAATTTTCCCATCTTAGAGCATCATTTTCTTTCTCAACATATAGTAGGGAAGCCATAGCCTAGTCCTGCTAGCCAATAGAAGTATATTTTCAATAGTATATACCAACATGTTCAGGTCCAGAGAACTCAGTGATAGTGTTCCACTCTGTTCTCTCAGTAACTTCTCTTTTTTGAGATAGGGTCTAATTTAAATAGGACTTTGGGCTAAGCTACCTTTGTATGCAGATCATAGGCATGTACCACCATGCCTAGTCTCATTACTTCTTTTTGTTTTCTGCCCTTTGAAAGTCATCCAATAGCTCTAACATCGTTCTCTTCCATTACATTCTATTCATGTCCTTATCTGGTTCTCTCCATCTGGTCTAACTGGAGCCATCTGTCTCTAGCCAGCACAAGGTCATGGTGGTCCTCTTCCCAGCTAGCTCCATACACATCTGTTTGTTACTAGGGAGTCTTTCCTGACTTGTGCTTTTCACTTTTGGATGTGCAAGACAATAAAAGGAGTTCCTGAATTTTGCCAAGAGTGTGAATGACATGACTGATTCAAGGCTGTTAACCATTTTCTTTTCTTTTTTTTTTGGTCCGGTTGTGGGGCTTGAACTCTAGGCCTGGGCCTGGGCGCTGTCCCTCAGCTCTTCAGCTCAAGGCTACCATTTGAGCCACAGTGCCACTTCTGGCTTTTTTTCTTTTTGCTTTTGTGGTGTTGGAGAATCGAACCCAGGGCCTCATGCATGCAAGGCAAGCACTCTACCACTGAGCCACCTTCCCAGCCCCCTGTTAACCATTTTCCACTTAAACACACAAGCAGTGGGCCAGGATTGGTGGCTCATACCTGTGATCTTAGCTAATAGGCAGTCTTAAATTTGGAGGATGGTGGCTCTGAGACCAGCCTAAGCAGAAAAGTCTTGAGATCCCACCTTCAAAATAATCGCAAAAGAAGGGCTGGAAGTATGGCTACGGTGAGCATACAATATGAGCAAGAGCTGTCATAGTATAGGTCACCTTGTGTTGCTTGTAGCACAGGTCCTTTAGTCCCAGGTCTGTACTAATAACATCTCTTCAATTCCAACTTTGTGTATGTGTGTGTATGTGTACAACTTCATGTACTCATGCACTTGTTGTGTACACTGATAATATTAAGTTGCACGTGCTTATGTTGCAGATACTTCAAACCAATTTTTATCTTTCCAAACACAATGAACCATCAAGAATTCTACCACTGTCAACATTCAGTACAAAGATTCCACTTCCAAAATGCCATTTGGTTAGATGGTGTTTACCTATCCATATTTACTTAGTCTTTCCTCTAGTTGACCCTCATCCTCCCATACCATTGCACCTCCACACATTCCCCCAGATTATTGTTTACAATGATCTTAACATTTTCCTGGAAATAAGGATTCTTTAGTGGTAGAATTAGCATTTAATTGTTAGCAAGTCACCTTCTTCAGTAATAACTCACAATGAGCTTAAAGATCTACCCTTAATCAGGTAGGGATAGGTGGACAAAGCATAGTAAAATGGACAAAAAAGCATTTCAATGCCAGGTGGAGCATTATGGGACCTGACCCGATACCATCATGTGCTAAACATGGACCTCCCAGGTGAGGGCAGAATACTCTCTTGTACTTGTGGGACTCCTGGATATCAGGAAAGTAGGAGGCTGAGACCTGAGTCCAACCCTTACTCTTCTCAAATTGCTGGCGAAGTTTCAGAAAAACTCAGTAATCTGCCCAAGGAAGGTATGCTAGGCTACAGGTGAAGAAAGACAGGAGCCTAAAACGTGGCATGAAATTTCTGAGAAGACACCTTCATACTTACTAAGCACTTATGAGCTTATAGAAATGGATTTGTTGTGGTCAGACAGTGTGGGTATGCAAGCCAAGGAGGGGACTGGCCTCTTCCTTACAGTATCATCTTATAGTGACAAGAAGAGGAAAATAACCCCAAATGGGACTGCACTGGTCATCTACTTGATGTCAAAGTATTGGGGCTGAACAGTACTGAGTGTTAACCTGGACTGCTGGTCAGAGAGCTGGAAAAGTAGGGAGTAGGATGTGAATTGAATGATAAACAGAGGGATGGGTTGATGGAAAGAATTGCCAACTGCAACATCACATTCAGATCTACCAGAGATCTCTCATAAAGGGCCAGTACAGTCAACCATATGAACCCATTACACTGGTCATTCTTGTTTGCTAGCCAATCACTTTCTGACTTATCAGACATACACACACACCCCAAATGGCCATGGTTTGGTGGACACAGAGGGCTAGAATATAAATGTCAGTAAATGCTTGACATGTTAGCAGAGAGTATCAAAGTTTAGCCACCCTGCATTGTTCATTCACAAGATTCTCAGCCTGTTAGGTCCTTGTGGCAAACTCAGTGCTCCAATGGGAACAGATGTTGCCTCCAGGCCTCCCTTTCTTATCCTCCAGGTCTCAGAAGTCCCAAAAGGCTGGTCTGGAGGTGTGGGGGAATAATGCAGGCAAAGCCCAAGTGTTGGAGACTCCAATTCATAGCAATGATAGGGTGCTGCAGAGCTCTGGATTGTGTTGTGCCTCCAAGGGAAGGAGGCACTGTTGGCACATGAGTGCATCAGGGCTTCCTGATCCTCCCTGCCCAACAGCAGCTGTTCTGGATTGAGCAGCACACTGGGATGGGGTATGAGGCACACTGGGGACAAGTACCCACCAGTAGAGGGATGGATAGGGCAGGTAAATCTGCAGAGAACAGTGCCAGTACTGGGGAGCTGTGCTCTTTTATCAACTTCTCCACATTTCAGTTTTCAAAAACAACTTAGACTTTAGAGTAAGTTTCAACCTACGGAAAATTTACACAAGTGTGTTTCCCTCACTGCCCTAGCTCTCCCTTGATTCACATGTTATAAAACATATTAATCAAAGTCAGAACATTTCCACTGAAGCCATATTAGTCATTAAACACAAGCCCTGTACCAACCTCAACATTGCCTCCTTCTGCCCTTCTCTCACTCAGGAGTCCATCTGGTCCTGCAGATTGTTGCTCTCCTCCCCTTTGAGGGGCCAAAGTTCCAACTAAACCTCCATCCTTGGCCATCGTGAGGGGTTCTGCTCAGCATTTGCTGTCTTGGTAAGCATAGATTGAGGGATTTCGATGGACTGTTCCTCTTTGGCAGGAGCCTACAGAGCAACAGATGCTGCAGCCATCTCAGTGAATCACACTGGGGCACCGAGGTCACCATGCTTAACCTTGTTCATGGTACTCGTGTTAGAACTCAGAGTATTGTACTTGCTTGGTAGGTGAGATATATGCCTATTTTGTGCTGGTCATTTTTTAGTTATGGTCTTGCTTCCTATCCAGGTACATGCCTGGGCCTGGACTCACCTATTTTAAGCTTCCTGTTGTAGTGAAGTTGATATTCATTACTAGCTTAAGAGGAGAGGTCACCCAGTTTTGGGCCTGGGCTGGCCCAGAATAATGATCATCCAAATCTCAGCATCTTAAATAGTTAGGATTACACATGTGACTCCCAACTCCAATATGCCTTCCTTCTCAACCCTACCAACTCAGCATTGACTGACAGCTTCCTCTCCTCAGTTACTCTTACCCTCTGGAATTTCAGAGAAGAGACACACATTTTCTTCTTCATTGTACTCTAATTGCTCCCAAGATTGCCTGAAATTGTACTATCTCCCCACATTGTAGGCTCCCCAAAGAAGTGATACCCTTGGATACTGGATATTTCTACATGAGGAGGTAAACTTAGCTGTGAACCCCAAAGGGAGATCCTGTTACTTCAGCTGTGGGCTGTCAGTTCCTTCCGCAACTCCCTCAGCTACAGTCATTCTCCATGACACAATGGTCTTCCTGCGCTCCCCACACTGATGGGTACAAAGACAGCATCATGCCAATTGGCCAGGTCAAACTATGGGACATGCAGTGGTGGAGCTGGAGGAGTTGACTTGTCCCCTATCCAATCTGACATCCAGTCCCTCCCTTCAACAGAATTCAAACTCTGTGCATTCTCCTCTCTGCCAACACTCTCAGTCTGTCTCTAGAACTAAGGAACAAGGTATATGTAACTGAGAAAACACAAACACAATCACTCATCATGAATGGACCAATTTAAATAGTGAAAAAATGAACCACAAAATTGTACTGAACCCCTCTCCCCGCTTCTTTTATTTGTGCAAGTTTGCTCCCTAATTGCTTTTGTGTGTTTGTTGGGGAAGGTGTGTGGGTACAGGTGTGGGGGACATTGTGTATAATAGGACTTGAACTCAGGGCCTTTGGCTCTTAACCTGGCTCTTTTTGTTCAAAGCTGGAACTCTACCATTCCAGCCACTGATCACTAGTGGCTTTTTCCAGGCTAATTGCAATAAGAATCTCTTGGGTTTCTCTGCCTACACTGGCTTCAAACTGCAATTCTGGTATCAGCCTCCCAAAAGGCTAGTATTACAGGTGTGTGTGCATGGCCTCCCACTGCTACTTTAAAAGGGCAGCTTTTAAAGTGAAGTAAAATAAAATTCTTGATTGAAAACTGGGTATCAGTGTGATTTAGGTAAATCTGGAAGCTCCTCATGGGAGAAAAGGCCTTCTCCTGGGAAGTTTTACAGCACTGCATGAACCAAGTAGGTTTGATGAAATGTCCCCAGAGAACACACAAGATACCCTGAGTGGAACAACACCCAAAGCACAGGTTCTTAGGACATTGTCTAAAATAGGTTTTTAACCAAGGTACTCACAGATGTGCTTCCCATATCCTTGGGAAAGATACCAGTAGAGCAGCCATCTGGATCCTGTCCTATGGGGATACAGGGTGTTTGGAAGCCTTTTCCTTGGTCCAAACCACATCACAAAGAGGCAATATGGATGCTCCTAGTCCAATGGCTGGGCCCTTTACTGCTAAAAATTAGGCTTCTTAAACTGGATGAAAGTATTCACTAAGTTTCTAAAGTTAAAAACATACACAGGATGAACAAGTAAAAACATTGCATATGTGAGCAGATGACAAAAATCTATTCTAGATTGGAAGTTGCCAAGCAGAAACTGTGCAAATCATAAAAACTAATATTTCTTAAAAAGCCTCCTCCCAGAAAAGGTAGACTGTGGATCTACCTGCTGCAGGTTGTAAAGGCTTACCTACAGCCTGGATATTACACAGGTGTGGCTGCTGCCACTGGTTGTAGGTGACATAGCCAGAACAGCTTTCATATTTACAGTGGCTTTTGGCCACTCTGACTATTGCATATAGAATTTCCAATTTTCTCTCTTGGCACTAAGATTTTATAGTACTGACTGAAGGGTTATTGACTAAGGGATATAACCTGCCCCTGCAAGGAGACTTTACACATTGAATTGGAAACACGTATTTTCTAAGGTCTTATAAACTGGACTAAATTAACTTATGGACATGGAGATAAGCTAATTTAAGACATAAGGTTGGAAAGAAAGATCAGCAAGCATCTCAATGCCTGTATCCCATTATGTGTTGGTGGATGCTACTGCCACAGGAAATTGGAGAGCAAAGCAGACATGGGAGAGGGTGGCCTTTGCAGGGGACAAGAACTTGCCATAAAACACAGCCAATGTTGTGCTGGAGTTTGTTTTATAGGCTTTGTAGTTCCAGGGAGGTTGATGTTATACTATATAGGGAATCTGCTTCTTCCTCCCCACCATACAGCTGATTCTGTTTTCAGAGGTAGTTTCTTGTTCTGATTTCACACAGTAGATCAAAGCATAAACTTATACCTACATACATATAAAGTGATTCTTTGTAGGTAGTTTGAGCCTGACCATTGAAGAATAACTACAACTTTTCATATACAGAGTTCTAAGCCAGGGCTTGACTGACAACAGCTATTGAAGCACTTCCTACTAGTTCCTCATCCTCTGAATACTATCAAGATGGAATATAGTGCTGCATCTCCCCTCCCCCCTTTGCTAGTCCTGCAGTTTAACTCAGGGTCTTCTGCTTAGTTGGCTGGCACTTGACTACTTGATTCACACTTTCAGTTCTGTTTGTACTAATCATTAGAGGCTCAATTTTAACAGACTTTTCTAATTGATCTGGTCTTAACACAAATCCTCTGGATGTATCTCAGACTTTTGAGTAGCTAGAATTACAGATGTGAGTCACTGCTTCCAGCTAGATTATATTGTAAGGAGGGAGGTTGGGAAGTTTGTAAGGAACACAGGAGAACAGGGCTTGCAGATGCAGATTCCAGCAATTGGTGTGAGGTGTAGTCCGTTAGGTGAGGCCGACTTCATCTCAGCCTTGCCAATTGCCCCCAAGGTAAGTAATGTTTTGCATTATGCAAGAATTGATCCTTTAAAAGAACAAGTTGCACTAATATCTAAGGTTTCTAAATGAGATGGCCCAAGGCATTGTTCGAAAGCTCACAATGGAGTTTAACGATAAAGCTGTGGTACATGAACACATGAGAATCAAAAACTGTCCACAATTCCATGCTTCTCCCATGATATATAAAACATTCTCGTCTCAAACCCAAAGAAACACAGGTCCCATGGTTTCCCTTATTTGCAATGACTAGTATATGTCTGAGACAAGCAGAAATGTTCAGAGGAGTTGATGTTAGGTGAAATGAACCCCAAGATAAGGACTCACATTTTTTTCTTTCTTTCTATTGTTTTAAACATATTTATAAGATGATTTCTTTGTGGTTTTTTATGTCCCTCCTCCTCGGTATAACCCTGTTTTCACTGTATTTGATGTTGCTATAATTTGTGGAGGGGAAGGGAAAAAACAAATTGTTTAAACAGGGATACAGGTGGACCCATTGCAACAATGAGATGTACAAGACATTATGTCAAAAAACAAACTTTACAACATTGGTGTGGTATGGGGAGTGAGATGGGAAGGGAAGGGAAGGGGAAACAAAGGAGGAGGGAACAATGCTTGATAAGAAATGTACTCATGTGGGCTGCAATGCTTGATAAGAAATGTACTCATGTGGGCTGGGAAGGTGGCTCAGTGGTACAGTGCTTGCCTTGCATGCATGAGGCCCTGGGTTTGATTCCTCAGCACCACAGAAGCAGAAATAAAAAGCTGGAAGTGGTGCTGTGGCTCAAGTGGTTGAGTGCTAGCCTTGAGGTGAAGAGCTGAGGGACAGGGACCAGGCCCAGAGTTCTGGCCCATGACCGGACTCCCTCCCTCCAAAAAAGAAATGTACTCATTACCTTGCTTGTGTAATTGTAACCCCTCTGTACTTCATTTTCAAGATTAAAAAAATTCTGGTTTCAAAGTCTTTGAGGAAAATCAATACCAGGATTTCAATAGGATTGATACATTGTTTTATAACTGGAATTTCAATTTTTGCCTGGAATGATAATAATGTCAAATGAAATTATGTCTCTATTTCAGAGGTCCATGCTAAATTCACCAGCAGCCCTTCCCAGAGGAAGGGTGCTATGATGATGTGTAAACTCATTTGTAAACATGAGTTGAACAGAAACTCAGTTAAAACACAGCCACATACCAAATCTTTGTAGAAATGACCTGTCAGGAGAGACCTCCCGAGTCCAGAAAGCTGTATGATCATGAACTACAAAAATCCAGCAGCAGTGTGGCTAGTGGTAGGAGATCATGATGGACCTAAAGAGGAAATGTGTACAGTTTTGTTAAGTATACATGCGGTTTTGTTTGCTAGCCATGGCGCTTGAACATAGGGCCTGTGCACTGTCTCTGAGCCCCTTTGTGCTCAAGGCTAGTGTTCTACCCACTAAATCCCAACACCACTTCCAGCTTTTTCTTAGTAGTTTATTGGAGATAAGAGTCTCATGGACTTTCTTGTCTCAGCTGGCTTCAAATTGCAATCCTCAGATTTCAGCCCCCTGATTAGCTAGGATTACAGGCATGAACCAGCAGGCTTCTGGTTTTTATACATATCTTTTAAAACTTAAAATTAAAGCCCATAAACATTACGAGGTGTACAATGCAGCATACTCAATTTGTATTTGTTCCCACTGGATCATCTGTGTGCTGAGTTAAAGGCTGTCTTAGATATGGAAGGGAAGTAAAGATTTTCCACAAAGTTAGTTTTTGAAGACATTATTATTCAATAGAATTCCTTCTGAGAAGACACTTGACAAGATCAGATGTTAGGTCAAACCCTCATGAAAGGGTATAGGAATTGTCTGGGGAAACCAGGCAACAAAATTTGAATTAGGAGGTAGTGTGCTTCCTTCCTCAGCTTACTCAGCTTTATTTTCTGAAGAAGAAAGAAATGAGTGGGAAGAGGTCAAGTTCTAAGGCCAGTTTACGGGTTTGTTTTGTTCTCTCTCCAAATCCTGTAATATAGGAGTGCTGAGTAATAGCCTCTTCCTTTGGAAAGTCCCCACATTATCTCCCTCTATCATGAGAGGAGACCTCACTTCTGTGGAGATAAGCTTGCTCTTGGGTCCTTCAGACACATAGTATGCAGACACCAAAAGTCCAATGCTATAAACGGAACCCAAGATACTCACTTTTATCAATGATGTAAGGGCCATTTCATGACAATGAATCTGCAAACAAGGTATCATCAATTCCAATAGTGGAAATAGCAGCCCTGGACAGTGGATGATGTAAGATGTTAATTGATCTCCATTCTCCCTTCCATTCTGAAAATTTGCCATATTTGCCACAATGAAGATCTTTGCCTCAAAAAGTTTAAGGAATTTGAGTCATGATACCACAGAAACAAGCAAAAATATAAATACATAGAAAGATTGTTTTGTGTAATGTCCCTCATAGGCATATGAAGTTAATTTAAATAAACTGAGTAAGAGAAAGGTTAAGTGAAACTGCTTTAAATAAGTAGTTTTTTCTGATTCTCCCATATTCCATTAAGAAAAATTATCGCTGATAAAAATACATTTACTCAAAGCAGCAGCAATGCAGGTTTCACAGAAGCACAATGTTTCGGTTTCCTATAATATCAGCTGAGCCTTCTGTGGGATCTAGGAGAAGGACATGGCATTGGGAGGCTGGGAGAAGTAATGGGAGTGAGGATCTGATGAAAACAAGCATCTAAAATCACCTAAAAGTGCAAGAGATGAGGTTTATACTTAAATATCTGTATCTATCTTTTCTTTTTCTCTAATCCCAGTATTACAAGCCTCAGCCACTGTCAAGGGCAGAGACTGGACACCTGAGGAGGGAGCAAACTGGAGAGCAGCAAGATTGGTAAGAAAAGCTCTAAGATGCACAGGAGAGGATTCAGGTGGTCTCACAGAAGATATACAAAGTCACCACTGAAGACAATGGTATGTGTGTGTGTTTGTGTGTATGTGTGTGTGTGTGTGTGTGTGTGTGTGTGTGTGTAAAAAGTGAGGCTTAAAGTCATGCAACATATCCTGAACTATGATTTAACAATGAGCAGTGTCCACACATTGATATGAGGTTCTGATAGTCTAGAGCAGAATTATGTCCACTGATGAAGGTTTATAATTTCAAGTCAAGTAAGAAGTAAGAAAGCAGTGCCTTCTAGCACCACAAAACTCCAATCTGAGAACTCAGAATAATAATGGGATTATAATATCTCACACCATGGGGAATAACGGAGATGGGGAGGACTGAGATCCAAGGCTAGTCTAGGCAAAGTGTTAGCAAGCAGACCTTATCTCAACAAATTCTTCTGGCTAGGTGGTTCATTCCTGAAATCCCAGCTCTGTGGGAGGTGTATGTGAGGGAAGAGCAAAGCCCAAAAATTATTTAAAATACTTAAAGCAAGAAGGGGGCAGGAGGTGTGGTAGAATGCATGCCTAGCATGTATGAGGCTTTGAGTCCAATCAAAGGATAGTACTATTAAAACAACCCAACAGATGTAAGATGTGCTCATTAGCCGGATTCAGCTTTTTTCCTCTCTACTAGAAATATTTAGAATTCGGGGAAGTATAGGAGAAGTGTACAGCACAAGTACCATGCAGCTGTACATTATCTATACAGCA